GGTTTCCAATAGATGTTCGGAAACCATGCTCAACTTTTCGGAAACGCTTCCATCGTTTTCGATGCTCGGAAACCCAAAAAGGTTTTAGATAAAAAAAATATCGGAAACGCAAAGGTTTTCGAGAAGGTTTTTAAATCAGAGAAGGTTTCCGGGGATAACTTTCGGTTTTCAAAAAGAGCACCAGAGTTTCTGAGAATACGGTTGAGGGTTTCCGGACCTATATTTCGAAAACTCATAGGTTTCCGGATGCTCGGAAACCCTGAAGGTATTTTCAGAAACTTAACATGAGTCCGGAAACCTTCCCGGATACGTTCAAGGGTTTCGGAAACGGTTTCTGAAGGGGTTTCGGTTTCTGAGAAAACGTTTTTTTTTAGAGTGTATGGGTGGGGTGTAGGCAAGGGGCAAAAATCGGAATCCCGGAATCTCGAATTCCTCTGGATTCCAAAAGATTCTGTAGGATTCCGTAAGATTCCGGAGGATTCCATAAGATTACGTAGGATTACGTAAGATTCCGTAGGATTTCATGAGATTCTCTTGGATTCCTCGAAACTCCTCTAGATTTTCAACAAGCTTCTAAAGCTGTGAAAGCACTCCCTCTGTGTCACCCTTAAGTTTGGTCGTACGAACTGAGCCAAAGTGGAGCCCATTACTTCATACTATACCCATTTTACATATATAGCACAATTAGTTATCAATAAGTATCGTCAATTGTCGCTAATGTTTTAAGGAAACTTCGGATTGTTCCCAAAACGGAACAATAGTACTGTGATATCGGAAGTACCATTCTCAAAACAGAACAGCGCACTTTAATTAGCCATAATTAGGTGAGTACTTGACGAATTAATACTAGTTAAGATAAGTATTCATCTTAATTGGCGCTAATTAGTCAAGTACTTATCTTAATTAGTGCTAATTAGATGAGTACTTGCGTAATTAGTCATAGTTAGCTGAGTAATAATTAACAATCAACTAATTAGTACTCTCCTAATTATGACTAACTAAGGTAAGTACTCATCTAATTAGCGTAAATTAAGTTGAATAGTTGTCTTAATTAGTACTAATTAGTCAAATACTCATCTGATTATGGCTAACTAATGTGCGCTGTTCTGTTTTGGGAATGGTACTTCCGATATCAGAGTATTGTTCTGTTTTGGGAACAAAAATTTTCTGCTAGCTCAGTTCCGATAGCTGTATTTAACAGTTCGCCAAGTTAGAACTATTGGCCGACCGTTGTACTCCTAATTACGATGTTCTGACAATATTTTTATAATGAAGACAGAAAATGTTTGGCTCACGATAGAGGTACGGGCTCGCATTTTGATCGCTTCACTTTCTCTACATGAAGTGAACCACATTTCTTTGACTAGAATGTTTGACTCACTTATTATGACCCTCAGGTTTCCATGTTGATATCTTTTTTCATTTTGAGATTTATGAATTATATTCTATTTTCTTGTATGTTTACTGATCATAACCTAAGATATATATCGCAAGGGATCAATCTGCAACTTCAAGGTTTAAACAAAAGAGGTCCTGAATGAGAAAATTACGATGAATGTTCTTAGACTGTACTATTAATTGTTGATGCATTTAAACAGATTTTCCTGCAATAGTACTATTCCTAGGGACTTTTGGACTGAAGATTCCAAGGTTCTGTAGGATTCCATCGGATTCTATTGGACTACATTGGATTCTATTCGATTCTATCGGATTCCATCGGATTCCATGAGTCCGTGTGATTCCGTAAGATTTCACAAGATTCCAGAATTCCAGGATTCCGTTTTTTCCCCCTTGGGTGTAGGTGTAGGGTGAGTGTGGATGTAGATGTGGGTGTGGGTGGGTAGGGTGTGCGTGTGGGTGGTGTGGGTGTGCGGGTGTGGGTGTGGGTGTGGGTGAGTAGGGTGTGCGTGTAAGTGGTGTGGGTGTGGGTGTGCGGCTGTGGGTGTGAGTGTGGGTGTGGGTGTGGGTGTGGGTGTGGGTATGGGTGTGGGTTTGGATGGGTGTGGGTGTCTTATTTTGTTAAACAACCACACCCACACCCCCGCATCCACACCCACACCCACCCATACCCACACCCACACCCCCCCCCACCCCCACCCCCACCCCAAATTCTTTTTTTTTAAATTCTACTCGATTATACTGTTGAATTGTTTCAATTGCAGTTACTTTTAGTGTGATTTTTGAGTTTTTTTGCATGAATTTCAAGTTTTTGCCATGTGTGAAAACAAAACGTAGTCGCCACAAATAAATCGGTTTCTCATTTTAGCGCATTGATTGTTTTACTGTTTATGTTGCGTTGCTGTACGTAATGTGACTTTTAACGTTCGAATATTTTTTTTTCATTTTCAATTTTTTTCGCAAATCTTAATAGGTAATGTAAAACAAGGTCAATTATGAATTCATATGAAAATATGGTTTCCTCTGACATCCCAAGTTTTGTATCGATTTGCCCTATTCTTAGAAAACAAATTACAAAGGACGGAGGACAGTTTGTCCACAAATCGGTGCTAAATGGAAACCACTTCAGGAAACAGTTCAATCGTATGGTTTTTGCTCCTTCATAAATCTCTGAGCTGCTCTTATTGTCAATGAGCGATCTCCATGACGACCATTTCCTACATTCTATACTATAGCTCCGTAGTTCCTTTTAGGAGGATGTGGGTGTGAGCGTGATTGTGAGGGTATGTGTGTGTTGACGTGGATGTTTTTCTCAGCGCAGACCCACTCATATCCACACCCTCAAGATAGTCTTCACTATTTTTAATAGTGATACGGACTAGTCTGGAGCGTCATTTCTATTGGTCATGACTAGTTTTTTTTTTAGAAAATATTTCTGTTCCAGGTCTAAACTAGCCTGAACTCGTGAAACAGTCCGTTTGCTTTGATCTTATTTTGTAGACAAATTTTTTACGTTGCTTTATACTGGAACTAGAAGAGTGTGTAATGCAGTGTAGAATGTTTTTGAGTATTTGTATTATTTCTTACAATATGCAATTGAAAATTAGATGCCTTGAAAGCATAAACCATATAGTAAAATAATCACTTTATTAGTATTTTCATTGAATGACTTGTATTAAAATATAGAGATTGAAGACCATTATAGGAATAAAAATGCCCTACTTTCTATAGTAAAAGTACAAAATATGTTGAAGCACAGAAAATGTAGATAAAATTACAAAGCAGATATTGACGTCTTAATAAGAGTTGTCATCCATGTTCTTTAAAATTGCTAGACTATAACAACAATTAATAATAGTTTTATTCGAAAAATAATTTTAATATCTGTGTATGAGAATTATATCTCATTTCGACTATGAATTTTGGTTATTTGATGTCAAAAATGGATTTTAATTATGGAATCTAGTCTATTTCCAAATCGAAATGGAGAAAATTAAAATTAAAATTAAAATTAAAACAAACATAATCGTTATATTAAAAAAATTTTTTTTTATATTGAGATTATTTTCAATTTATTTTTAGATTTCAATTATTTTTCCAATACAAACTAATTTTTCCTACATGTTCACAATCAAAATCTTTTGTTTAGAAAAAAAAATTACCTATCCTTATTTAAATAACTTTGAATTTCATGAAAAATTTTTTTTTATTTATATCAAAACTTGAAAAACCTGAGTAAAACTGTGTTAAACAGCATCTCAGAATGTATGTCCACATAAAGGGTTTGATCATTCGATTACATTGTTCAATCGATTGTACGATAGATAAATTATATATTGTATGCACGTTTGAATCTAACTTTCCCCTTATATTTCTATAGTTTAGACTAGTTCGGACTAGACTACCACATAAGCCATAATCTTTAACATGCAGCGTCACGAACGCCCTTCCTTTTTTAATTTAAAATCCATTTTGAACGAGTGTCCGGATGGCGCAACATGTCTAGTCCTTTTACGAATTTCGAGCTAGTCCTGTAATAGGACTTTTTGAGCAAAACACTTGTCTTGGCATATAGTCAGGACTAAAAAAACAGAACTAGTCTTTTCATCTGTTCTTTGCTCTCTTGGAAATTTTAGAAGTTTTGGTATTTTAAAAAGACGGCAAGTGTTGAGATTTCTGTTTTTAGTAGTCAATCTGTCACATGTTACAGAGTCTAGTAGAAGATATATTCCATCCGTATTACTTGGAATTCTGAAGAGAGTATACCTCGATCACCATCATTGTCTTGAAATTTCTCTAGTTTGGAATTACTCTTTAATAATTAACAGTTATGTAAAATACTTAAATAAAAGGTTTAAAACGTTCTCTTATGAATGATGTACATTAGATAAAGTACAATTATTTTGTGAGGTATTTTTCAGCCTTGAAGAGTTCAGATATGAGATGTCGGAACGAAAACATTTGTTGTATCTGTTGTCTAATTTTAGCATTTTTATCAATGATCGAAATTGTGGTTTCAACATTGGAAGGTTGAAAAAATACCAGTGCGTGATATCATTGTCATGAATTATACTGAAAAAGTTTTCTGGATATGGATGGATCGATTCTAGTTTCATTAAATATAGTTTTTCTACATGTTTTGATTGTTTGTTGCACAGTTAGTTTTTATTTCATTCATGTGATGAAAAGAAAGTAATGCATTTTTTCAGTTCAGCAAAACATTATAAATTCAAAATTAATTGAGTATATTACTAGGATTTTTGGAATGTGATACCAATGACATAATTGAATAAAGTTGATTCATATTTCAAATATTCATATGCAAAGGTTTTTTAAATATTTGATGTGGTTGTAGACTCGCGAACTCTATTCTTGCGATATATCATTTGTTGTTATAATGTGTTATTTGCCAAGAACAGAAGTACTCTAGATAAGTATTTTTCTTCCGAAGAAAATAACATATGAAATCAAGATAAAAGCACATGTGATATTATTTCTTCCTATGATACAATTTACTATCTAAGGTAATAAGACAGAGTTGCATTGTTTAAAAAAAAATTGCATGAATTATTTTTTCATAAGTAACAAACAAACAAACCATTATGAAATTTGAAAGTTTACCAAATGACATATTCTTGCATTGTTTTGAATATCTCAATGCTCCAGACATATTCTACGCATTCGAACAATTAAATCCTCGATTTTATCGATTAATTCGAACGATTTCATTACGTCTCAATTTTGAAGATATTAACAAATCAATCTTTGATCGATTTTGTGAGAAAATGTTAGATTATACAGAAATTCAACAACAAATCTATTCATTAAAACTATCAAATGAACAAGCATATTGTCAAATTCAAGCATTCTTCACGTACTTCTCATTGGTTGAATTCACTCGACTTCGATCATTAACTTTAATTGAGGTCAAACAAAATGATATAGAACAATTATCATCAACATTACCATTACTCTCGCAATTAATATGTCTTCGATTGATTCCTTCTCTATCGGTTTTAGATACACTCCTCCATAAACTTCCAAAATGCAAACCAAACATATTGTCAACATCGTCAATAAGTTCTACATTATCATCTCAAGAAATCATACCACTTACAAAGTTGTCCGTAAAGTTTGGCATGATGAATCACATATATCAAATGTTACTACATATGCCATTATTAGAATATCTAAATATTTCAAGAGGTCTTCAATTTGATTCAGTATCAACTACTGACATAGGTCATCTTCATGGTCGTGTTAATCATCTAAAATATCTAAATGTATCTAATTGTATGGTTAACACGGACAATTTGATGGATGTCATTGCATATATGATCAACTTGCGAAGTTTAACAGTCTCTGTATATGAAAATTCCGATATAATCGATGCTTCTCGTTGGAAACACCTAATCACATCTTCATTACCACATTTAACTGTGTTTCGATTTAGATTTGGTACTTTTGATCGAAATGAGATAATTAGAAAGTATGAAGATTTTCAAACGAATTTTTGGATCAAAGAACATCAATGGTATACAGAATGTTTATTAGGAGACCAAATTTTATCACAAATTTTCACAATTCCTTATCTGAATGACACAAGATCGATGTGGTTAAAATACGTTCGACACTTTAATACACGAATTGATCATTCAAAGACGTTCGATAATGTTACAGATTTACATTTACCAGGTGAAGAACTGTTGACATCAAATGGCTTTTATTTTCCTAATATTCGATCGTTGGTTATTCATTCTTTACCTGTATTTGCTAATGAAAGTAATGAACAAAGATTCATTAGATCTCTGAAAAAGAATAATGAATTTGTCAAATGTAAAACATTTAGAAATTCCATTATGTTCTCAAACAACAAGACCAACAATTTCGTTAGAAATTCTTAAAGAAGCACCAAACTTATCATCCCTCAATATTTACAATTGTGCCATAGATATATTGAACACTAATAAGGAAATATGTCGATATACCAGTGAAATGATAAAAAAATTACAGTTCTGTGTATATTCTCAGCCAAATCCATGTCAAAAACCGCATGACGTGAGTTCAATTCACAAAGTATTTCCAAATGTTGAACAAATGACTTGTCCTAAGACCCAACCAGATACATGTTTATTCTTATTAAATAATTTACCTAAATTATCAACATTGACTATTCATTTTTATCAGTCGGAGAATGACAGTTCTTTCAGCAAAGTGAAAGAAGAATTATCAAAATTAAAGAATATATTTTTTTATGAGGAAATACTACGCGCTAAACAACACGTAAAATTAATGGCATTTGGTTTTTGGGTTGGTCGTGGTGATATAACTACATAAATACATACTTTCATTTACATTGAAATATATATATTTTAAACGTGATGTTATGATTCATTTTAAATCAACTAGAAGAGAAAAGGACAGCATGAAGTAGTTCTTTTTGACGTATGAAAATAGCATATTCGAGTCAGCAAGAAAAATCAAATCATTGCAAAATCACCGTTATGGGTGTGGGTGTGGGTGTGGGTGTCGGTGTGGATGTGGGTGTGGGTCAAACTGTGTATCTCATTCTGATACTCACACATCCATACCCCCACACACCCACACCCACGCCCCACACCCACCCACACCCACACCTACACCCGCACCCACACCCCACCCACACCCACACCCACACCTACACCCACCCACATCCACCCACACCCACACACCCACACACCCACACCCACCCACACCCACACCCCACACCCACACCCACACCCTAGATTCTTTATGGAATTTTTCGGTAATCACAATAAAAAAAAAAAATCAAAACTTTCAAAATGAATTAGTCTTATTTAGAAAATTATTTATGCAGCAAAATTTCAAATTGAACTGAATGAGATTTGTTGAAAAATGCAATTTCATAAGAATGAATACTTTGAAGTTTGAATCATTCTAATGGACTAACTCAATTGTTCGGTTTTTGAATATTTCTAATGCTTGAATATATTAATTGTAACAAACATTGTTAAGCATCATTATAGTTTACAATCATCAACCATATTAAAAACAATAGAAAATAATGTGTTTATCATCTAAATCATCCATCCATCCTAAGTTTCAACATATTTCGATAGAGAATCAAGCATTGTTGGTTATATATTTTCGTAAACAACACCAATATAGATGTAATACTATTTTCTTGTATAAATTAAATATGTTTTGACATAGACAAAGTAATCAAAAATACTTGACTTATTTCATTTGTTTTTTGACTTTCTATTTATATTATTATTTTAACTTGTAAAAGAAATATATTAAAAATTAGTTCGTTTTTATTTTCTTTAACTCATATATAATCATTTATCAAAAGATTTTCTATATTCGATATTCTCTATGTTAACGAGTGTGGATATAAGATATCATTAAACGGACAATTACATTCAGACACACACAATCATATTCCACACTCACTACGTTTCATAACTGTCAAAATAAATGATTCCGTTTGAGAATAGTCTAGTAATAACGTTTCTATTGCAAAAGAGACTTACAAATTGTTGATGTCGAAAAATTTGAAGTTCATATATAACAGATATTTTTTCGATAAGTCTTACTAGCAAAAAACTAATTCATGGAATTGAAATTGGAATTCTTTTTTTTCTTTTTTACATCTAAACGTAGGAACAAGGATTGACTCAATGTAATATTCTCTAGTCAAATTATTGATTCTATTTATATACACACAGATAAATCAAGTAGATTTCTATTTGAATACAATCCTTATTAAGGAAAATAATCTGTATACTATCAAATAAGAGAAAAAAAATAAAATAAAACAAAACAAAAACAAAACAAGTAATACAAGAAAACGACAAAATGAGAGCAGCAGTATATGTACCACAGCCAAACCAATCATATCTACCAAATAAACAGATGGTTAATAATTAATTATACTTTTTTGTCTCTGGATGACGTTCTTTTCCTAAAATACAACAAAAACAAACCAAAATCAAATCAGAATTTAAGATTTTGTTGTTTCACAAAAGCATTGAAAAATGATATTTAAGGCGAATATCACGATTATTCTTACTCGCTGACATTCTTTTTTAACAATCATCTATTATATATTTTGTTTTTACTAAAATCTATAAGATGTCACTAAATAAATATAGACTAATAACTTGATTCTTAAAGAATAATTTTTTCCAGAAATAAGTAAATTTCATGGAAACCTTCTCTTGGAGATTTACAAAATCTTTCGAGTTATATTTCAGTCACATTATAGAGAGTTAAAGAAATGAATAAATTCTTTTAAACTATAATTCTTTATTTTGATTTTCATTATTATCTTAGTTCGATGAGCATAATATCATTTGAATATCAAGAACATTGTAAATGTTCCTATCAGAATGTGGGTCTACATAAATAGATCAGAATACCCATTTACATCCTCTCTACAGTATACCCTTAATATATCGTCATGGTGACGGCATCTTCTCATTTTATCCAAAGAGTACCGCTGTGAAATCGTTAGATTTTCAGCTGAGATAGACATTTATATTAGCTACAAGAGAAAATCTACAGATAAAATCTCTATCAATTCAACTAAACTCCGAATTCTTCCTCAGCACATTCTACAATATGAGATTTTCTTTTAAGAAAAGTCTATTTTTTTCTTTTCATTTTAATTACTCACCAAAAATTGGTAAAATCAACTTGTGTACGAAGTATTCATAGCAATCATTTCTTGCTACAACATGTTCATTATCTAAAAATATACTCTTTCTTACCATTATATCACATGTAAATTTTTTTTTGTTTTTTTTTTCGAAGTAAAAAACTTGATAATTTTCGAGTATACTAATCATGCATTCAAAATAAATAATTTATCATTCGATTATTTCTACTGCAAATTTCCATCATATATACAAAATTCATTTTCGTTTTTGATGAAAATCTTTCGTTTTCTAGAAATTTTCATCTCGAAAATTGTAAGACAAAAATAATTTCGAAAAATTCTTTTTCATCAAAATTTCTGTAAAATAGTCGAGAAAAAAAAATAATAAATATTAATCTCTAAAACAAAACATTTCAATTTTCTACACAATTTTCTCTAATCGTTTATATTAATTTTACTCATCAGAGACAGAGAGAAAGATGTCAACAGTAGAACTCAAGACAATATCTGTATACTTCATGATGAGATTTATATAACTTTATTCTAGTTGGATTAAAGTTAGAGAAAAAAGACAATATCAAATATAGACTGATATAATCAATATTAAAACAAAAAATTCAATGTTCTTTGTTGATTTATGATTATTCGAAAAAGTCAAATTGATCTAGATAATCATATATATATATAGTCAATTCGATAGTTTCACTTGCTTAACTATCTTTCGATCATATGAAAACAATAATTTCAAGGTATAATTATATGTAGTCTCTTTTTAAATCTCTGTAAAATGATCTCAAGTTTTTTTTTCATGAAAAATAGTAAAATAAAGACAACAACTAATCGAAATATGTTTAAATATTAATAGTGACAATATAATAAATTATATCTACTATTATTTAAATATAAAGTACTTCCAATCACAATTTAATAGAAAACAATTCATATTTTTCAATCGAAAAACATAGAAGAAAATAACATCGAATAACGAATTTGTCTCAATGAATTTCATGAAATACTTCAAAAAAATAAAATATTATACCATTTCATTCACAACACTTATTCCTATAATCATACTAAAATATTTAACATATTCGTTTTTATTGATTAAAAATATTGAAAAATTGTCGCTTTCTTTTTTTTTTCGTTTATATTTAGCTATCATCATTTAAAATGGAATACTTGATGATCTAATATAATTATTAGATTTACTTATGATTGTATAATATATTTCATTTGAAATAATAAAAATTGATTCTTTAATAATCATATGACATAATCTTCTTTAAAACTATTCTCGAAAGTAATATTGAACAAAGTTCATTAAATAGTTTTTCTCTCTAGTATAAATACTAATAATTCCATAAAATGAACATTGTCAAGCAAGCAAAATTCTATTGAATTCATTATATATAATTATGTAAAGCAATGGAACGTTTTTCAAATAATCATCAATATACAAATAACATTTTAGTCTTTCTCTAATCATTGATTAGTCAGTCTATAATTGATACTGTCTTTTTTTACTTTAATTTAATCGAACTTTAATAAAATTATATATATCTCATCATGAAACTTACAAATATTGTCTTGAATATTACTTTTTGACACTTCTCTCTGTCTCTAATGTATAAAATCATTATATATGATTTGAGAAAATTACATAAGAAACTCAATTGTGATGTTTTAGATAGTATTTGTATTTATTTTTTTTTTTCGAATATTTTATACATATTTTCATGAAAAGAAAAATCTTTCAAAATTATTTTTTTTTCCTAAAGTCTTCAGAATGAAAAGCTTTACAAATTGAGACATTTTTATCGAAAGAGAAAGTAAACTTTGTATGTGTGATTGAAATTCTATAATATATTCTCATTAGACAAACTAAACTAGCTGAACTATTGAAATTAAAAGTATTCAATTATTTACCTTTTTCAATAGTAATTTCATAGACTGGTATTTCATCTAATGGATCAAACCAAAAACTATTAATACTTCCAGGAATCAATTCCATTCCTTTTTTCATATTGAAAAAAAACATATGCTTTTGATGTGGTATATTGAAATGGTGGTAAATGTGATTCAAAACTACTTGTATTGGAGCCGATTGACTAACAAACAATGAATATTCATTGTTGTTATAAATAAACTTGATTTGTTTTACATTATTAGCAGAAGTCATTTTTTAATAATCTAAAAATTAAGATAAATACTAAAAAAAAAGTAACTAGATATAATTGAATGAAAATCAAAAAGTATTGTGTCTATTTCACTTTAAACATATAATAAATATGATTTTCAAAGTTAGTATTGACTGAATATGACCTTGTCTATACTACAAAAGTTAAAAATGAATGAAAGAATCTGATAAGTTGAAAGTTTAATTCACATTTAATGCATGTTTTAGAAGCAAATAAATTTAATGCACCAATCAAGAAAAATTTGATGCACTACTTAAAAGAATGAATGTATCTCGATAAAGTTATTTTATATTATTGATAGATAGAATTTTCTAAGATGATGAACTATAGAAATTGAAGAGAAGATAGAAGTAAGATTTTTTTCTTTTTTTTTTAATGAACACATGCTAGAATAATATACTTCAACTAGATTATAGTTATAGAATCGACACCTGAATTTGGATTGTTACATTAAATCTTTAAATATAGATGCATGA